GCAGTGTACTTCGTCGATCTGCCTGTTCTGCTCCCCACTCTGTCTCTGGTGAATCCTCTCACCCTCCACATCTCTGATCTGTACCAAGTGATTCCTGCCTGCCCTGGAGGTGACCACATGGCGAGGCAGACCTCTCCTGACCCGCCCGCTGCTCCCCTCAGCAGTGTACTTCGTCGATCTACCTGTTCTGCTCCCCACTCTGTCTCTGGTGAAGCCTCTCACCGCCCCTGAGCCTCTGGTCTATACCCCAATTCTGTAAAAAAAAAAAACAAAAAACAAAAACAAAAACAACAAAAGACTGCAAAATAGTGCAACTGCTATGAAAAACCACTAGGCAGCTCTTCCAAAAGTTAAACATAGAGTTACACATATACAAACAACTTCACTCTATGGAAGAATTAAAAGTAGGTGTTCAAATAAAAACATAAAAATTCATAGCAGTACTAATCACAACAGTCAAAAAGATTGAACAAATGGAAAATGTCCAACTGATGAACAGATAAAATATATACCTTCACAGTAAAACATTATCCAGTCATAAAATAGATAAACCTTAAAAACATGCTATGTAAAAAGACACTTCTCCAAAGAGGAAATGGAAATGGCCAACAGGTATACAAAAAAATATTCAGTATCACTTATCATCAAAGAAATGCAAATCAAAACCACAATGATACACCATCTCATGCCAGTGAGAATTGTACATATTAAAAAAACTGCCAACAATAAATGTTGGTGAGGATATGGAGAAAAAGGAACTCTCCTACACTATTGTTGGGAATGCAAACTGGTCCAACCACTATGAAAAGCTGTGTGGAGGTTCCTCAAACTGCAAAAAATGGAGCCTCCAATGATTGAGGAATTCTACTCTTAGGGATCCACTCAAAGGAAACAAAAACGTTAATTAGAAAGGACATCTACACCCTTATGTTTACTGCAGCACTATTTACAATAGGTAAGCTATGGAAATGACCCAAATGCCCAAAAATAGATAACTGGGTCAAGAAGGTGTGGTACATATATACAATGGACTACTCAGCAATCAAAAATGATAAACTCATGACACCTGAAGCAGCATGGATGGAGCTGGTGGGGAAATTTCATGTTTTATTTCATGTTCAGTGAAATAAGCCAGAAAGAAAAAGAAAAATACCAGATGGTATCACTTTTAGGAGGAATGTAGAGGATCCAAATAAGGGATCAGGGAGAAAAAAGTAATTATAACAACGTACTATCAAAATCATCAGGCAACTATAAACCAGAGACAATTTGCAGGGATAGAGCAGTAGGATCAAAACAGGGATAGGAAGAACCCAAGGTACTATGGTGATGGCCCACAGATGAACTGGGGGTGGGACTTTCACAGGGACTATAACCAAGATGAGAAAGCGTATACTGTACAAAAATAAAAATAAAAAATATATAAAATAATTATGTTATGTTAAAGAAGCCATACAAAAGGCCATGTACTATATGATTCTATTTACATGACTATCCAGAATAAAATAATACATAGAAAACAGATTAATGTTGCCAAAGTCTACAAAATAGAAAGCTATTATTCTTTTGGGGTAGTGAACATGTTCTAGAAGGACATCATGACAATGGTGGCACAACAATGTGCATGTCCTAAAAGCCTCTGACTCTATACTTTGAAATGTTTAAAAAAGTAAATTTTGTTAAACTGACCCTGATAAAAATAAAAGCCCATTTTTATTCCACATCAAATAGTAACTGAAGGCATTTTTATCTTAAGATTTTTTTCCTCTTAAAAGTAGGAGCAGCAACAGTCACAAAAACTAGTTTCAGAGTTTACAAATACTTTGCCATACAATCTTCTATAACCTTTAAAACAACTCTAAGGTAGATAATAACACTCCACCTTAGAGATCTGAAAAACCAAGACTCAGAAAGGCATAAATTCATATAGCAATTGAATATGAAGTAGGAGAACTGGCTAATAAGCAAGCCAGATTGTCCCAACTCCACTGAATTATACTGCCTCCAAGGTAGTATAAAATGAAAGCGTGAGGCTCTCCCTGGTGGTGCAGCGGGTTAAAGCACAGCATAAGGAAGCTTCAGCCACTTCCGCATGAGTTCGATCCCCGCCTCCCCGGAGATCCACATGGCGCGGCAGACCTCTCCTGACCCGCCCGCTGCTCCCCTCAGCAGTGTACTTCGTAGACCTGCCTGTTCTGCTCTCCACTCTGTCTCTGGTGAATCCTCTCACTCTCCACATCTCTGGCCTGTCCCAAGTTCTGTACGAATAAATAAATAAATCTTAAAAAAAAAAAAAAAAAAAAAAATGAAAGCGTGAAAAGGATAGGCAATGCCATCCTGGGTATTTTTTTCCTTCTTCCAGAGTTAGTATTTTAAATAATCAAAGCAGTAGAAATATTCATTGTACATGATGAAAGTCTTAACAAAGCCAATACAGCTCATTATTGTATAACAGCATCATTACAGATTTCCTATTTTCCAGAGATACAGCTTTCTCCATACAAGCTATGTCACATTAGCATGGCTCCTTCTCCAGTGAAGTTCGGCATAATGTTCACAGGTTTGGCAGTAAAGTAATAGATGATTATGCATGTTCCTTGTACAACTGGCCTCATTAAGTTATAGTCACATTTCCTATTAAAGGCTAACTAGTAAATGACAAATCAAAGATACCCTATGACACTGATCAGTCCTACAGACGTTCCTGAAGGAGAAGCAGGACAGTTAGAAATATCTCACTGGGCCCTCCCTGGCGGCGCAGCAGATTAAAGACACAGCACTAAGAAGCTAAAGCTACTTCTTCAAGAGTTCGATCCCCACCCCAGAGGAGATCCACATGGCACAGCAGACCTCTCCTGGCTCACCCGCTGCTCCCCTCAGCAATATACTGAGTCAATCTGCCTGTTCTATTCCCCACTCAGTCTCTGGTTGAATCCTCTCACCACCCCTGCACCTCTGGCCTGTACCCCAGTTCTGTATGCATAAAATATATTTTTATTATAATAGTTTATTTTATTTTGTGTAAATAAATCTTAAAAAAAATATGTCTTATCAGAGCGGCCACTTAACATATTTGAATAAAGGATTCCGGAGTTTTAAAAATTGCACTTCAAAAAACCTCTGTAGTATATATAGGCATCCTTACTTCCTTGAGCACAGGTTTTAAAAAAAAAAGTTAGCCAACATTATATTATTAGAATTATTTCTAACAACAAGCAGAGAATAATTTCAACAGGGCTGTCACCCTACACTTGGTTTGTTGAGTTTTATCAATTGAACCATCTTTGTAAATCTTATTTTAAAAGCGTAAGCATTATAACCACACCTTGAGAAATAAGTGACTTTTATTAGATATCAGGGTGAAGTATTAACTGGGTTCAGATATGAAGCACTACCCCTGGTGGCTCAGCCTGCTGGATGGTGCTTAGTTCCTGATGACATACGATGGTTTCATGTACTGTGACCTGAAGCTACTGATATCTCTACTTGTGCATGACTTGTCCCTGAGCTAGCTATGGTAAGTAATGTTTAGAACTGTGTTAGCTCAAGGGCAAAGATTAGCCACTCTTTCTCCTATGTTCCAGACTATCCCTTGGTTCCCTTTATGGAAATCCCTTTCCAGAAGCAACATATGGTACAAAAGAAATTATGAAATAGGAAACAGAAGTCCTGGGTTCAAGTCCCCGTCTCTATTAGTATCTCCTTCATGCCTCAACAATTTGGGCCTCATTTTATTCACTGTACTTACCTTATGGGCTACTAGGAGAATTAAATGAGAAAGTGCAGCAGTTCCCATCCCATGGGCTAGAGACCATTTTACAAGAGGTCTGTAAAAGCATATACTAGGGGGAAAAAATCATTTATGAGTTCAGACTGAAAGCTCTGGTGTATAATTATCTGGGTTCAAATAATGGTTTTATCATGGGAACAAGTTACTGAGTCTTTCTATAATTAAATTCCTCATCTGTCATTGAAGAAAACAGTACTTACCTTATTGGTTTATTGTGAAGATCAACTGAGTCTATAAAGAGTGTGTAACAGTGGATGGTTCAGTATGAATGCATGAAAAAATATCTGCTATAGTATATGCACTTATGTATTCTTTCGAAGTACTTGTGTGTCAAGTTTTTGATGTTAAAAGGGATTATTCTAGTTGAAAGTTAACAACTACTAATAGTTATAAAAGAATCCAATAGACTACCTACCAAATTCTTGTCAGAGCAGCTGAATTTTAAGATTTCGATTATTTTAAATGTATGAGGCTTATTTTGTGGTCTAACACATGATCTATGCCAGAGAATGTTCCATGAGAAGAATATGCACACTCCTAAAGCTGGGTGGAGAGGTCTGTGTAAGTGTGTTATATCTAACTGACTTTTGGTGATGCTCTTATCATCTGTTACCTGTTGATCTTCTCTATTTGGTTGTTCCATCCACTACTGAAAGTGAGACATTAATGATTCCAACTATCACTGCAGTAACATCTATTTCTCCTTTCAATTCTGCCAACTTTTGCTTCACATATTTTGGGGATCCTTTGTTAGGTATATGTGTTTGAAACTGTGATCGTTTCTTGTTGTATTGAATTATTTATCAATATACAAAGTCCTTTGTCTCATACAATCTTTGGTTTTAAGTTTACTTTGTCCAATATTTAATTTCCAAGATTCAGTAGAGACTTAGTCTTCCCAGTCAAATGATCATATCTCCTTCTTTTTGAAATATGCCCTTTATGAATCTATTCCAAAATACTTAAAAAGGGGGGGGTTGGAGGTAGTATCTTTACCTAGTCATGAAAATTGTCACAGGAACTACCCCTGTTTTCACCCTATGGATCATGTGTCCACTGAATAGATATCCACCTTACATTAAACACCATTCATATATAAAGTTCACATCCTGTGCCTACATGTGATCTGGGTTAGGACTGACCCTAGAATTCCTAACAAGGGTCACTCAATGACTGACATACAAAAGAAGGGAGAGGCAGAGTGGCTTACATTGTAGGAGCGGGGATGCCTCTGCTTCCACTGCACCAGGAGCAGCTGGGCCACAACCAAGGTAGCGATGAGGATGAGGACCATTTCAGCATGCATGGCTTCGTGGCCTCGGTGTTTGGCATGCATACGTGCATGCTCAATCCTGAAAGCCAAACAAAATAAGGTAAACTAGGTCAGGAATAGCATGGTTGTAAAGGGATAGCCTTTCCAGGGATATTCCACTAGTCTATAGCACACATACGCTTATGTGCTTTGCAGCTGAAGATACCAAGCAGCAAGTAAGGCACTAAAAAGACATGCCTAAGGACAGGCATTTTGGGGTAAAATACGGATTTTCTGGGAAATGGTCAGCAGTCAGTCATCAGGGTTAAAGCTAAGTATTCTGCCTGCCCCTTAGTGGGGCACCTCACATCTTTCCTGCAGCTAGAAAAAAAGATCCAGAAGAATCCTGTATCACTGCCTATTTCAGTCTTATTTTAACTTATCACTGAAAAGAGAAAGTAACTCAGAGTGGTTACAGTCATAAAATCTCCTACTTAGTCAATGATATTTATGACACCTATAAAGGAGAAACATTGCAAATGTGTGTTCATCCCAGGATTTTATAAAGTATTGCTTTACTCATTCTCCCAACAATATCAGGGATTCTAAAGACAAGGTAAAATCTGAAAATCTAGACTGTTTTAATTTTATACTAATCCATCACTGATAAATAACCTCTTTAAGAGCTCAAGGAGAATACAGCTGGAAACTCTTATTTAATCTAAGGCTGGCATGCTTTTATCCTAAGATTTGGCAGAAAGTGATTCCATTGACCAATATAGCCAAAAAGCTTCCCCTCAGAGAAGCACAGTCACTTCTCACACTATGGATCACAGTCAGCCAAAGGAGAAGATGGGGAAAGAGTCAGAAACTAAAACTAATGAAGCCTGTGGTCAGGAACTTCTTCTCTATTCATGGGATATTAGGGAGGGAGGTAACAGGAAGTATAGATGGTGTCTTCAGGGAATTCCTAAGAACAGTGAAAGTCTAGCAAGAAGAACTCAGAGGGGTGAATTATGTATAAATGATAGAGCAAATGTAGCAAAAAGCTAACTGTAGAATATAGGTGGTGGTCATAAGGGTTTTCAAAATTCTTCAACCACTGCACAATTCTTTCAACATTTTTGTATGCTTGAAGTTTTTCATAATATTATGTTGGGGGAAAACTTGGTGGGCAAAGAGGACAGCAGCCATAGCACCTAAGAGTTCAGCCTAGATTAAAAATCTATCCTGAGTGAGAATCTGACAATAAGATAACAGGAATACTCAAACCTTAATTTCAGATACATCTATGTGGTCATGACCAAGAGAATTCCTATCTCTACATTACAATTTCCTTATTTTGAGATAGGACCTCAAAAGGAGAGCATCTTTACACACCTCTCATAAGGTTGTTGTAAGGAAAACTAAACTAAAAGAATAAAGCATACTTTAAAAACCTAAAGCCTGGGCCTTTCCTAGTGGCACAATGGGTTAAAGCTCTGTACTGTGAAGCTCACTTTAGTTGCTTCAGCACAAGTTCAATCCCTGGCCAGGGAGGTGACCCACATGCTGTGGCAGAACTCTTCTGGCCCGCCCACTGCTCCCCTCAGGAGTATACATCATCAATCTGTCTGTTCTGTTCCCCACTCTGTCTCTGGTGAATCCTCTCAAAACCCACCTCGCACCTCTGTAGACATAAATAAAATAAACCTAACACCTGTGAAAATTGTAAAGATAATAACAATTTCTTGTTCAGAAATAGTATATAACTGAATGGATATGACCAATGTGAACTCAACAAAAGGCTCTAGAATAGACCACTGAAGTTATCTAGTTTATGTTCCTACCCAATGCAAAAATGATTTCTATAATCCCTTGTCTGAATGCTTCCAACGGCTGAGGACACAAATGCCATTAGGGCAATCTATTCTAGAACCAGCAGTCTCTGGCACATTGTAGATACTGATATATGCTTATGAAGGCATAAAATTCCAATGCATTAGGAGATAGGAAGCTCACTATCTCTCACTATACCAATATTATTAAAGATATTTCTAACAATGAAAAAAATCTATCTCCAGACTGCTTCACTTCATTGGACCTAATCCCACACACTCTGGAGCAAAGGACATGTCCATTCCTTTCTCAATGCTGCCACTTCAAAGGTTTATCATATCTTCTTTTTAAAAAACAAAACCAGACTATGGTGATGGCACATAGGTGATTTGGTGATGGGAAACCCACAGGGATTACAACTGAGATGAAAAAGGCAAAAAATGATGTAAAAAAAAGACAAAAGCTATTCTGTTCTTATCACGATTCTCTTGTGTCCTTTTTTTTTTTTTTTAAAGATTTATTTATTTATGCATACAGAACTGGGGTACAGGCCAGAG